ATAATAATAATAATAAAAGAGATTATATAAAAGATAATAATTGATAAACTCACAATTAGAATTTATTTAATTATTAATGATCAGAAGCACATTAGCATAGTTTTTGTTAAAGAGAATATTAGAAAAAGGTCGACGAGGCTTAGGGTTTACTCTCAAGTAGCTAGACACATACATTTTCCTTCAAAAACACAAGACGTTATCAAAGATCTTCAATTCTTTCTGTCTATGGCAAAACGTTCAAATAATCTCATATTATTATTGATAACCAGTCAAACTAAAACTGTTAACAAACTTTCGATTAAATCAATTTTTAAAATCTTAAATTAAAAATAATCCAACCAAAATTGAGATGTTATTTTTAATGTTTTTAATAAAATAAACACATGTAATGTATTCAAAAACTTTTTTAAACTAAAAATTTATAATGTGTTATAAAATATTTTTTAGATTGACTTTATCCGGTAGCTTCTAGTTTATGCTGACAGAAAATTCATATTTTTAAAAAGTTATAAAAAATATTTATTGTAAAACAATTCTAAAAATATACTTTTAAAAAAGATAATATGATCTATTGTTGAGAAGTAATAGAAAACTTATTAACCATTAAAAACTACATGGATTTAATATGATCTATATTTATATTTTTGAATAAATTAATTGAATAAATTTATTTATAATCCAGCACTATCTATAAATAATGGATAGATAAATTATTTTATCCAACTATAGTGGTTAAAAAATGGCTCATTGAGAAACATTTGTAAATATGTTTTACTTAAATCCTAAATTCTAAATATATAACCATGATTAATTACCTATTGCAAATATTTTTTTTTAAATAAGTTATTGCAACTATATTTTTTAAAAATACCTATAATATTTCAAAATAATAATTTAATTTAGATTTAATTTTTTTATGAAAAAAATCAGCTATATATTCGAGACAAAAACTAAAAATTATAAATATTTTTTAGAATAAATAATTTGAACAAATTTGTAAATTCGTAATCTATGATTATTTTCATATAACTTGTTTTCTATATATAATTTTTCTGATATAAAATATACTTTTTCTCCTATCTAAATGAAATTAATTATATTAAAAATATTTCAAGTAAACTTAATTTAAAAAATATTAAAATTATAATCACATATATTTAAATCTCCTCAGTTACTATTGCTTCCACTCCTCAATTAAATTTATTCTTAGAAATTTAAATATTGAATGCATTTCTTTATATTTTTGTCGTTCTTGCAGCACATTTTACTATTTAATTATCATTATTTCATAAATTCTACAATGTAATTTTTGTTTCGCCCATTCTTCTATTAAGTTGGATACATTCCTTTGATTTATCAAATTATGGTGACGTTACAGTGCAAAAGGTTTAAACTAACAAAATTGTATTACTTATCCACATTTTTGTATGAAACGATTGAAGTTTTACTTTATTTATTTTCTTCATGATTATTTTTCATCGAACGTTATTAACTTATTAGGAAATTAAACGGACCAGTTAAATATATTGGAAATGAAATATTTTATGAAATATATATATATAAAAAAAACAGTTCCTTTACTATCATGTTTTTCTTTGTTATGTAACAAAAAATATATTAAATCATGGTAAAGTTAAAGTTGATTACTTTCAAGGAGTTCGCATAAGAAACTCGAAGACCAAATTTAATTATAATTTTCTTTTCTTATTAATATAACATTCTACTAAAGTAGTATCTGATTTAACGTCACAATTTATGCGCGTACTTCAGTCGAAGTATGCATCTCTATAGTTTGACAAAACGAATATGATATCTTTTAATGTGAGGATATACTATTAATGTTGATAGCACAAAAAGAATTCTACATATTATAAACAAAACCATTCAAATTCATATTCTAGAACAAACAACCAGTATTCGGTCGGTCAAACTTTTTTTTTCGTTTGTAACATCTGCTGATAAAGACAATTAATATAGTTTGACTACGAGATTTAAAAAAACCTAAAATATTTAAACTGTTTCAGAAACACAATAATGACAGCTATATACATAAATAAACAATTGAACAAAATTAAATTCCGTAAGACTTACTTCACAGGCTTTTAGTTCTCATTAAAATTGAATCTCTATAGTTATATTAAAATTGGTAACATAGTTAATAGGTGAGAAGAGAAGTCAATAAAAAATGTTTGACAATAAATGCAGATTGTAAAGAGGTAAATTATTATTATTATTATAATATTTGAGAAAAAGTGTCCCAAATTGAGGTGGCACTTTTTGGTCAAACTGAAAGACCATGACCATCAAGTCCCACCTTTCTTTCCATTTCTGCAAAATCTAAATTCTTCTTTACTTCTTTCTGCATCATCTTTTCTCCTCTGCAAGATCCATAAGAAAAAGGAATCAAGTCAGAGAGTGAGACACAATCAATCAGTTCAGGTGAGAAAAATTCCAACTTATACCAAACACAACATTTCCCATTTACCATTTACTCTTTCAAAGCTTAAAGCTTTTTGCTTTTTGCTTTCGACCCATTATTACTTGGGTTGGTGATTTGAAACCCTGTTAAAAAAAATCGAGTCTTGTCGATTACCCATGTTGGGAGAAGAGAGTAACAACGCCGACACCGGTGTTCACTGGAGAGCACATTCCAGATCAGTTTCTTGGACGGACCAGACTCCGGTGGTCCGGAAACCGCCGCGATCCCTTCAGCCTCTTTGCATCAGGAAAGACAGCGTGAAGGAGTGGCCGAGCGCCGGCAGCGACGATCTCGAGGTTTGGCTTCCGCCACCGACCCCAAGAGGGTCCACCAAAGGATCATCAAATTTGGGTTCGGGTTCGGGTCAAGTTTTTCAGCTTAGGAGAGACAAGTTGGCTTTCTACGACAAGGAATGTTCGAAAATCGCGGAGCACGTGTACTTAGGAAGTGACACGGTGGCAAAGAACGAGGAGGTTTTGCGGCGGCACGGGATAACGCACGTGCTGAATTGCGTGGGGTTCGTTTGCCCCGAGTATTTCAAAAGCGACTTCGTCTACAAAACGCTATGGCTGCGGGACAGTCCCTCGGAGGACATCACAAGCATTCTCTACGACGTTTTCGATTACTTCGAGGATGTCCGACAACAGGGTGGGCGCGTGCTCGTACACTGCTGCCAGGGCGTGTCACGCTCCACCTCGTTGGTCATCGCGTATCTCATGTGGAGGGAGAATCAGAGCTTCGAGGACGCGTTTCACATCGTTAAGAACGCGCGTGGCATCATCAATCCGAACATGGGTTTCGCTTGTCAGCTATTGCAGTGTCAGAAGCGCGTGCACGCTACGCCCCCGAGTCCTAGTTCTGTGCTCAGAATGTATAGGATGGCTCCTCATTCTCCCTACGACCCTCTTCACCTTGTTCCTAAGATGGTCAACAACCCTTGCGCCCACGCGCTTGATTCGCGTGGGGCGTTTATTGTGCATGTTTCTTGTACTTTGTATGTGTGGGTTGGGAAGGAGTGTGGCACGGTGATGTGTTGCAAGGCGCGTCATGCAGCTGCTCAGGTTGTTCGATACGAGAGGGCGACTGGGGAGATCGTTACCGTGGTTGAGGATGAAGAGCCTGAGGAGTTTTGGGTTGCTCTTTCTCACAGGCATGAAGAGGTGAAGAACGTTGAAACAATGGAGGTTGATGTAGGGATTCATCCCCGGAGAGTTGAGGAGTATGATTTGGACTTTGGAATTTTTCACAAGGCACTTTCTGGTGGGGTTGTTCCACCCTTTTCTTTGTCCAAGGCTGGATCAGAAAATTGCCTCCCTTCTAAGGAAAATGGGTGGGGGAGATTGACTTGGAAGCTTAGTGGAAGTACCATGAAAGGGTTCACATCCTCCAATATGAACATTGTAGAGGAAAATCACCACATGAATGTTGATCCTTTGCCTTCATCTTCTAAACCCTTTTACGATGAAGATGCGTCTGACTCAAAGATTTGCCCTTTACTTCAAAAAGAAGGTGTATCTTCATCTCCAGAGGCATTTTTGGCTAATCAGACCTTGGTAAGGGAAGAGTCTAGTTTAGCGTTCAAAGGGTCTAAACCCTCCTTTGCGGAGTGCAGAGGGACTAACCTGCCACCTCGTACGGTGCTACTCTCGACCGGCAACAGTAAGGTCCGAGTAAGATCTAAGTCAATCTCATTACCTGCCTTGGATGATACTTTGTTGAGTGATGTTAGTTGCGAGCAATTCGACCATGAAAACAGTGCAAAATAGTTAATTTCATATGATGATATCGTCAGTGCTGCTGCTGCTGCTGCTGTTGAGGATGATGACAAAGGTCGTTGTAATGTGGTACTGTGTCATGTAGGATAGCTAGGTTGTTATGGTTGAAGTATAAACCTTATATATGTGGAAAAGTTAACTTTATTACATTGCTTCTTGTTGTATAGATCAGCCATAGTTGGCTCACTTATGTTTGAATATTGGTGCATGCCTCCTGGATTAAACCTGATGTGAATCTCCAATGAAATGAAAGGCACATATTATATATATCATATAAATATGAGACAAATTTACTTTTATTAGAGTCACAATTTTCTTTAAATTTGTTTCCATATATTGATATTCATTTTTAAGATTCAATGTTAATATAGTGACTTATAATAAGGTCGAGTCGGTCATTTGATGTATTGTTAAGTTTTACCAAGTTGATAAATTGTTATTTACCCTATCAAATTAAATTATCATTATTTATCTAAAACAACTCATTGATATCAGTAGTTAATAAATTATATAGGATAATTTCAATCGAGTAATTTTATAAAGATTTCCAACAAAATTAATTCTTAGCAAATTAACTCTTACAAAAGTTTATTTAGTAAAACACAATGTAAATAATAAAAGATAATATATATATATATATATATATATATATATATATATATATATATGTGTGTGTGTGTGTGAAAATTATAATAAATAAGAATGACATACAAAAATATAAAGACAAATTTTATACACGAAGCAATAAATTAATAAAATTTAAAACAATAATATTTAAACAGGTCAATTCTTTTAAAATATATCATTTAAATATTATTGTTAAATTAATTATTGTTGTAGATTTTAAAATAAATCAATGTAAAGTCTCAGTTGATTTGTTGACTTTTTTTTATCTTTTAACCATAATATAGTCTTAATTAAAAGTGTTTACTTTTAAATTATTCACATTAAATTCAATCAATGTTTAATCATATTTATTCCTTTGTCACTTTACCAAATAAAAAGTTAACTAATTTTTACCAAAATTTGTTAGATTCAAGATTTGTGTTGAACAAGAAGAAATGTCTTATAAAGGTTTTATTTTCCTTGATGTTAAAATCAGGTTAAATTCAACTTATTTTATGTTAGAGACAAACTTGAAGTATAAAAATGCATTTGTCTTAATAGATATGGAAGATAAAACAATGAGATGTTGAAATGGCCAAAAGTAATGGTGATGTGTCATTAGAAAAAGATTGTGAATATGTGAGATTTATTCAACCATTTTTAAAGATGTTTTATAACTCTACCATACACATTTATGGTGGTTCTTATGTCACAGGTTATATAAAGATGTTTTATAACTCTACCATACACATTTATGGTGGTTCTTATGTCACAGGTTATATGTATATGAAGTAGGTGTTTGGAATTAATAAAAAAACAAATATTGAAAAAATCTTAATAAAATTAATATCTTGTTTTATCATAGAATAAGTTGGATTTGACTATATATTTGAATCTAGCATGGTTAGTGAATTGAAATCATTATAGTTCTCAAAGTGGTCAACAAGAATCTCAACTTAGAAGATGATGGTTAAACTTAGAAGATGATGGTTCTTATATCACGAGTGATAGATATGTATATGAAATAGGTGTTTGGAATTAATAAAAAGACAAATATTGAAAAAATCTTAATAAAATTAATATCTTATTATTGATTGTATGTTTTATCATAGAGTAAGTTAGATTTGACTATATATTTGAATTTGAATCTAGCATGTTAGTGAATTGAAATCAAAATCATTATCATGATAAATATTTGAAAAAGTTTCAGAAAGTGTTCACCATTCTCATCTCTACCATAGTATTAGAACGTGTTATCTTTACGAACATAACATTATATTGATGGCAGAAAATCTACGTGTGACAAACGAAAATTTGGCTATTTTGTGATTAACAGGTATCTTGAATATCCACTCGTTGTTGAGTCTTGCTGAAAAATCTCGTAGAACATGCCTTTTTGGCATTAATTTGAGTTTTCAATTTTATATATAAATTGAAGATCAGAAACCATACAAACAAAAAGCTAGTTACAATAAATGTTTTGTATTATTGTACAACTAAAGCACAGAATATTAAAGTTAAATATAAAATATTTAACAAACTCCTGCAACTTGTTTTATACTCTAAATCCCTTAGCAATATCCTTTATAAGTTTTTTTTTTCTAAGCGGAGGAGAATGATGAACTCCTTATTTAATCTTGGCCTGAGAAATGCTTTAAGCAGTCTTTGCCTGCATGCATAAAAACCAAGTCACAACATGAGATCAAAATTAGTCACAAGGAAAATTATCCTTTGTAAAAGGAGGCTATGAAGATAACAATTAAGGAACTACTAAAAATATAATTTCCATTATAAATTAACTAATAATTCAAATGATATCATAATTGCTTACTAAGATAAGCATGTTAAAAAGTAGAAATAAAAAGAGCAAAAAATTACAATTTTTTAGAAACAAGATGCTTAAAATACAGTTTCTGCTTTTTTTATCTGCTACTATTTTTTTTTTTACAATTTTTGAAAGTGAAAAAAAAAAAGACTCAAAGTTAGCACTTTTTCACTGAAATTTTAGTTTGAAAACATCCACATAATACAATTATGTACTGAATGGAGCTAAGTGTTGCATACATGCAAAAGCTTCTCCGAGTAAACACTTCTCTTTGCAAGCATTAGTGTTAGGATGACAGGAACCATTGCAGCAGATAAATGCTTAAGGGTGTGACCACTGACAGTATGAAAAGTGAATGCATAAATCACCCTATCAGTAGTTTCTTGGAGCATAGCTAGAAGATAAAATCCTGCCAAAATTCAAATTGAAATTCAGGGTAATTGAAAAGGGTATTTGCATCACATCGAAACAACTTTTTCACAATACCAGAACTACAAACCTGAAGCCCAGAGCCAATATGGTGAATGTGTGTACATTGGAGGCAATAAAGTAGCCATGAGAGGTACAGCAATGCATGCTGCACTTTGTGCTAGAACATATAAACGGATGTCACCAAAGAACCTTTATTGCAAAACAATTGGTGAGAAAAATAGCAACTAAGAGAGAGCTTAAGTTCATTAAACTCAAAGCTCAATTGCTTCAGGGTAGTGAACTGTGTAGAAAAATCTATGAGTAAATGTCCAAAAATAATGCAAAGAACTAGTGCAAATAAAGGAATGAAGAAATAGCCTTGCCTCCAATACACATTGCTAATTATGCCAATCAAAATCAAAGGTACAATTGCATGTATTCCCTTCTTCGCATCAATCCTTTCAATGATGAGGATTGCCATTAGTGAAGCGAAAGCAACAGTCATCTCCAACAACCAAACAAGAATGAAAGAATCAAAATTGTGAAACTAGAATATGAACATAAGGAAAAGTAATTCGTCTTAATTAGCATTATAGGCTGTTTTCCTTAATTTTGAATTGAATGGAATTGCTGAGGAGAAACTCAAACTCACTGGTATTCTGTCCCAGAGAAGGGAAGCATCATCTGGGTGAAGATGATAGTATGAAGAGCCAAAAGCAACTGAAGTGACACCAGCATAAAAGCATTTCCAACCCCATAGTTCACCTTCCAAACTAATGCCACATACATTAATCACATAAGCTAATGGAATTGATGTTAAGAAAAGGAAAGTACCTTATGTTAAAATAGCTGCTCCTTCGATGGCAAAGCACAAGGCCAATGAGGCCAATCACCATGAATGGGAAATTTGATATGACGTTTAGAGCATTGGGAATACCTGAAGAACAATTCAAAAGATGAAACCTTTCTAGTCTCAAACTCAGGTTTCTAAGTGTTCGAGAAGAAATTACCAAAGAAATTGCGGTTGTCAGCAAAATGATGGTACCACTGAGGCTGAGGAATGGATGGGGATAGGAGGAAGAGTAAAAGGAAGGAAACGAATGTCAGTAGCAATGCCTGCACACTGTATTTTCTCATTTTCTTCAACTCATGGGAATTTCGTGAATTAGAGAGTGAGAGAAGGCAAGATAATGTAGGAGTAGGACGAACCTTGGAGATGACGGTGGGCGGTGTGCGGTAGGCGGTGGACGGTGGGCTGTTTGACGGTGCTCAGTGGCGCGATCCTTAAAACTTGAAGCACGTAGAACTCTTCCCAGGAAATCCTTTATTTTACTTTTGATGGATTTAAGAAAATAAACAGGTAAAATTGAGATTGTATGTTCTAACAGATTAAAAGAAAAGTTGTGAAAGTTAAATGAGTTGATGTATAAGATAGATAAAAGAAAGTATTTTAATAAATAAAATTATTATATTATAATTTTATTTTATGATTAAAGTTAATATAAAATAAAATATAGTTCATATTATCATTATAATGATAATAATTATTTTATTATTGATATTATAATAATTCTTTTATTAATATTATATAATTAGCTATAGTATTATTATCATTATAATTACTAAAGGTAAATAGGTTTTTGGTTTTTCAATTATTATGCTTTTAGTTTTAGTTATTTTTTAAATTTTGATTCATTTTCATTTTTTTCTTAAATAAATTTGTAATTTAATGTTTAGACACAAAGTGTTAAATTTGTTATGATGCGGTTAAGAGTGTGTCACTTTTGAATACATGTATATAAATTTTGGATGATTTTATGTTTTATTTTTTAATCGAAACTCAAATTAGGGTTATTTACTTTAATCAAATGAACGAAATCACCATTTAGGTTGTACAAACACAAAGGAAAAAAACATTAATTTGTGGAGTTGATATGTCTGTCGTCAAACACGTCTTTAACGAAATAATCATTGTTGAAAGAAACACGTAAGTTCATTTTTTTTATTTTTATTTGCGTTTTAGGTGATTTTTATTTGAGTTAAAATGTTGATTTTACAATGTAGGTTTGGAAATGGTTTTCGATGTCTCTTTGCATCACATAGACAAGTTCCTAAACAACAACATACTATAATATGTTGAGGAGAGATACACCTAATTAAAGGAATTGATCCCGATCAGTGGTCCTATTTTAGTGAGAATTATTAGGGATTTCAAATATGATGGACATTTCAAGCTGTGGTGGAAAGGGTCCAAACAAAGACTTTTAGAATATTGAGTGATGACAGGAAAGCATTATAATTGACTAACTACACAGAGGCCAATGTCGAAGAGGTTGAAATATATGTGCAACATGTTCTTAGTGAGGCCCAAGTAATTAACTTCATTGTTGTTGGTGTGATGGACGACGTCATGGGTGAAGAGGCAAAGGCAGGACACGTAGAGGCCATGGAGGTAGAGGTTAATGTGGCTGAGGAAGATGTCAATATGACTGAGGAAGATGTGAACATGGCTGAGGAAGAGACCATTATGGCTTAGGAAGAAGGGAATGTGGTTGAGGAGGAAGAAGAAGGGTCAATGGAAGATAAAGTGGTTGACAAGAAGAAAAAATGATAAATGATGATAATGGGTTTGGGAAGGACAATGAGAGGGTGGTACATGATCATAAAAATATTAATTTTGTACTAGATAGGTGGAGTATAATGAAAAATAAGAAGAAGAAAACAGTAAGGAGAAGAACTAATGTTGCTAAAGAGTCATTTATGGTTAATGAAGAAGTTGGAGACCATGACATAAATGAAGAATACAATACTAATGATTTGTCTTCAGATGTAGATAGTGATTATGGTGTGAGTTTGAATAGGGAGAAGTTTTCAAAGTATAGAAAAAATGATATGAAGAAGACCTTGAAATTTAAATTGTGGATGAAGTTTTGTTCATTGAAAGATTTTAAAAATGCGTTAATGGAGCATAGAGTTTTAAATGGAAAAGAAGTCCAATTTGTAAAGAATGATCATAAGAGAGTTAGGGTTGTGTGTAAAAAGAAATTTGGTTTTTTAATTATGCCTAGTAAGGTAAGAGGTAGCCATACATTTAGATCACAAATGTGGAAGTGTTTTTGGAAGCAAAATTGCAAGTGTACAGTGGATTGCACAAGTATTGATGGACAAATTTATAAATGTGGATAACATGAAAGTCAACCAAATCATTGATGAAATTAAGAAGTTATACAGTGTTGGAATAACACATTGGAAGGCTAGAAAAGTAAAGCAACTTGCAATGGGGAGATGGAGAACGACAATATGGTTGTCTATATGATTATGTTGCTTAATTATTAAGAGTTAAGGCTGGAACCTTCAAGATTAAGGTTAATAAACCTAACCCACTTTGCCACCAAGGTTTGAGTCATTTTACATGTGTTTAGAGGGCTGTAACAAGGTCTTCTTGGGTAGTTGCAAGTTCGTCATTGGGGTAAATGGTTGTCATCTGAAGACAACATATAATGGTAGTGGGCAGACCCTAGTGACCAATATTTCCTACTAGCTTTTGTTGTGGTTGAAATGAATGCAAAGAGACCTATAGGTGGTTTTTGACATTGCTGCTGATATTGGGGACATTGATTGTCAAAGTTGGGTATTTATTTCAGATCAATAAAAGGTTAATTTTCAAGTTTTATTAGCTAATTTAAGTTGATTTCATTTTGATTATTTAACAAAGTAATAATCTTTTTTTCATTATAGGTTACATTTTTTGTGTTTCCCTTTTCATTGAAGGCTACAAGTATTTTTGTCCAAAATATGATAAAATGGTTTCACCATTTCTACATAATTGTGTTTTGACCATGTTGTATGTTGTATGACAACAAAGGATGTAATGGTTTCACTCTTTCTTGCATAATTGTGTTTTTGCATAATTGTATTTTAACCCAAGTTTCTTATTCCTTCCCTTGGGAAAATACTTGATTCCTAGTTCTGTTATAAATATGTAGAATGGGTAATTAAAATAAATTATTTAAAACTAATTATAATATATAGNGTTAATTTTCAAGTTTTATTAGCTAATTTAAGTTGATTTCATTTTGATTATTTAACAAAGTAATAATCTTTTTTTCATTATAGGTTACATTTTTTGTGTTTCCCTTTTCATTGAAGGCTACAAGTATTTTTGTCCAAAATATGATAAAATGGTTTCACCATTTCTACATAATTGTGTTTTGACCATGTTGTATGTTGTATGACAACAAAGGATGGAATGGTTTCACTCTTTCTTGCATAATTGTGTTTTTGCATAATTGTATTTTAACCCAAGTTTCTTATTCCTTCCCTTGGGAAAATACTTGATTCCTAGTTCTGTTATAAATATGTAGAATGTGTAATTAAAATAAATTATTTAAAACTAATTATAATATATAGTCAAAGTGTATTGTTTTTGTTTAAATTTTACAACTGATGATGTTGGTAATATTTTTTTAAATTTTACAATACATTCTTATTACAATTGGACTCAAATTGTATGACAGTACATAAGGTCACATGATACTTGTATTATAGGAATGTCTCATATTCACTCAAGTATGATGCTTATCAAAAATAAAAAGTGTTCAACCACTGTTATTCAACATGTTAGTGTCTTCATTTCTTTACAAGATTTGTTTTTGGATTCTGATCTTTTTCCACATACATGGTGTGAAATTTCAATGGCTAATGTGGAAGCTTTTGAAATGTGAAAAGTGCTCTAATGTGATAAATCATTATCTTAGCTCTATTATGTTTATTATTATTCCTCAATTTAGTACTACTTTATGTTGGTTGTTTAATCTTCTTGATCAAAGTCTTTTTTTGTTAATTTGTTTTAAAATCACAAGTTATATCACTTGGTTTTGATTTGGGGTATTATTATTTTGGTCGATTGAGTGAACATCCTCTATAGAATGACAAGTTGTTTGCTAGTTTCAAAATGGAACTAAGTTTGTTAGAAACTGATATGCTATTTTATCTTTCTTGTGTGGCTGTAGAGATTGATTTGGTGAAGGAAGGTTTGATTTTGCGTGGTACTTAGGGCTATGTAGTTATCCTACAGTACACAAACTTAGCTTGTATTAAAAGAGATTGAAAATGGCACGTTAAGCTAGTTTTACTTTGAGTATACAAATGAAGAAAGGATATTGAACACCCTCAATAGTTGCCTTATGAGGCTTTACTAGTTTTATTGAAGAGTATGGTAACTTTGTGGTCCAATTAAGATTAAATGATCTTGTTGTGGTGAGCTGTGAAGAATGTTAAGTACCTTTCCTAGATTACTTGCTACATAGCCTGTTTGTGATGTTAAGAATGATAAATGGTCCCTGATTTTGTTTTTTAAGGGAAGGGGTTCAAGGATAAATGATATTTCTAGAATTTCATAATGTAAAAAAGAATGTTGATTTTTTACTTTTTTTTGAAGGATTTTGTAAACTTGGCTTTTGTCCCCACTCATTATGTTGATTTAAGTAATCTCAAAGAAAATGATACATGTTTTGACAATGCAACAATGGAATTTTCACTTAAAAAATAATAACCAACTTATAGAATTTTTTGGGGGTGTACTAGTGATTTGAATGCATTAAGCATAGCACAATCTACTGGCTTTGATAGAAATATAATTGATAGGACACAAAATTGGGTAAAAAAGTTTAAACCAGAATAGTAGGAATGGCGTAGAGGATTAACCAACAAAGTATAATATGAATGTTTTAGTAACATCACTACTACAATACCAAAACAAAATTGAAAACATTACTGCTACAACCCAATATTACAATACTAATTATAATTAATCTATAATAAAAACATAACAAAAAACATAATTGTTAATGCCCACAACAAAACAAACAACTAACACCATAATTTTTCCAACTTTTTTCCGTTCTTATAATTTCCTCTTCAACTTCTCGTTCTTCTTCATTAGGTCTACTACAACTTTTTCCTTTTCAGAACAAACTTCATCTTTTTCAGTTTTTCTTTGTAAAGTAGTTTCAATTTGAGATTATCCTTCATCAACACATTCAAAGTAGTTACAATGTAAATTACTCTACAATAAAAATTACAAATCATTAATAAAAACTTCATCACTATAAGTAAAAAAATTTCTTACTTACTGTTCAAGTTCTACACCTCAAAAATAATCTTCCTTTGTTTTTTAA